TGTATTATTGTAGGGTCTTTAAACTAAAATGTAACACGCCTTGTTGCGATTTGGCGCTATATAAATAAAACTGAATTAAATTGAAATGAATTATTCTACTGTCAAGAGGATGAGGGAACATTCAGTAAAGATGCTGTTATTAAGAAACCTTGACTTTCTGGTCTGAATACATTAGAACTTATAAAAAAAAAATGATAGCACTAATCTTTACCATTGGTGACTGATTTTTATTGGATTTAAGATTTGTGGCCACTGCTGATACCTTTAAAAAGAAGCTTAAGACCCACTTTTGCAGGCTTGCTTTTATTTAGTTTGATCTATTTATGCCATTTATACCATACATGGGGGAACCTGGATACTAAGGTTTATTGATGATTGCGCGTATAAGTAGCAGGATGAATTCTGTGTGTAGATTTAGCCAAATGCTGCAAAACTGATCAGACTGTGCTTCACTGGGCAAATAAATAATGACTCAAAGCAAAGTGCAAAAAGCAACATAAGTTTGCAACTTGTCCATTGGCTCTGGGCTTCAGTTTCTCAGTTGATCCCCCTCCCACTTATGGTAGGGGGGAAATAAAGAACAAGGCTGTGGTGATGGTCAAAATGTTGAACTGAAAATGGCCTTAAAATAGTTCACAAACTAATAAGCTTCCCATTCTCACTCGAGTATCACATGCCTTAATTCGATTCCCACACTTTCTTCTTTCAGTTCAGTTCCCCCTTCTCTCTTTTTTTTTTTTTTTTTGCTTCACTGACAGCAGTCTCATGCCCACTAAGCCGCTAATGACGAAAAATATGTGAGACGACATTCAGCCGTCTAACCCTGGACTTTGTGCCAACGGGCCTATAGATATATTCGGGGGTGAAAGAAAAGGCTTAAAATGATTAGTAGAGTAGTGCAGCAAACATGACTTGCTCTTAGCTTTATCTAAAAAGAAATCATTTTCATTGAAAGTACTGAAAATATGTGGGTTGTTTCTTTCTCTTCAGTAGGTTCCTGTCTCTTGGAAATATATAACAGGGGCCTTAATATTATCAGACTCGCTGAAATATTCAGCCGCCCAACCCGCATTTTAAAGTGTTAACACAAAGATAAGATTACAATGGAAATCTCTCTGATTGTTTACTGTGCAATACTTGCTTATGCAGTTTCGTAATAGTGCAATCCTTTTTCTTTGTTTTTTGTACCATATTGTGATGAACGTGGGTAACATCCTCATCCACCTTCACTACCTCTGCTCCATGTAGCCTCGCTGTTACACCTGCCTACCGCTAATTCACACACAGCTTCTACCGAGCTTGATTTCTCACACTTGCACATACTTCTCTGCCACCCCTGACTTCCTCATGCAGTACCACAGTTCCTCTCTTGACATCCTATCTTATGCGTTCTCTAGGAAGCATACGATGGCGCCCTCTCATCAGTGTGTCATTTGGCACACCATGGAAAAAATACGGCAAAGAATACCCAGGACTTACCCAGGAGTAGCTATAACGATATATCAGATGAGAATGGGACAACATTCCCTCCCAGAAGTCCTACAACTGGTCTCTTCAGTTCGCAGATGCTTATGTTGAAACGAGAAAGAAAAATGAGATGTTACACAAATATGGCCTAACCTTTGTGAGACATGTTGCTGTCATCAAATTCAAAA